TCCCAATCAACTTCTAAAATAAAACCGAAGTCTGATGTCTTAGACACATTAAATTCTGTATTTGGATTTACCCATTCGAATCCACCAGTAGGAAGATATTGAGACATAGCCCAACCATATAAATTGTTGGCATCAAAATATGTGATATATGAATTTGGTTTCCCTGTATCATAATCCTCCATGTATTTGTTATTAGCTCTAGCATAACGATTACTACATTGAGATACACCACCTCTGATACCTGATCTAATAAATGCAATTTTCTCATAATCTGTTAAAAGTTCTAATTCTATTTTTGTATATTTTAACATTGCATCCCAACTTAAACCGGGTGCTGTGTAATAATGGACAGGGTCTAAATCATATGTATTAATACATAACTTTCTAAAGTTTTCAAATACATCGGATAAAAGTAAAACGTCTGTTTTTAAATATAGGTTTGAATAATCTAGCATATTACAACACCCAAAATGTTCCCAAACATCTTTAGCATGATTGTAATCATCATTTGAAATATGTGAATCTGTGAGTGAACTATAAAAACATTTTTGTTCAGGGAGCGATGTTAGACTTAAACTATCATAATTAGTCATAAGTTCATATGGATAAACACCTTTCCGTTTTAAACGAAAGAAATCTTCAGCATTAGGGTAATTTCTACGTAATTCTTGAAATTGATCATTACTGAGATTTTTGGCCAATTCTTCTAATTTACACGATAAAAACTTAAATGAATCTAAGAATCTCAATATAATTTCGTGGTTATTCACTTTTAATTTTTTGGAAAAGGATATATATTTTTCTTTATTTTGAGGGATAACTTCGACTTCACCATCACAAAAGTTTAACGCGTGAACAATAAAATGAGCATCATAGTGACTAAGGTTGTGTAAAAATATTGGTATATAACTAGGTGTTCTGATCTTCGAACAACATGATTCATGAGCAACACCCATAAAACTACCAGTGTACCAATCAAAATCATAAAAATGTTTTGCCAACTCAGTTTCACAAATATGACAAATGGTTGCATTTGAAATTTGGTTTTTGTCTTCATTTGTTAGCGGAAGTGGTGGATATTTTTGAAGTCTATTTATTTCTTTTAGATTGTTAGATAAACTTTCCATAAACACTTGTGCACAGTTGGGTCCGCAATATGTTACATATTTTGATAATTTATCATCATATGAACATTTTATATAATATCCAAAACTATGTACTTCATGTTTCTGAATATTATGAGTGAAAGGTTTGGAAGGATCGTTAGAACATGATTCTATTGGTTTTAAAAATGCTTCAAAATCAGCATAAACTACGAATGGTATCTTTAACTTTTTTTCATAACTATCAAATTTAATTTTATCATTTGAAATAGGTTGACCAAACCAATTCTTTTTTTTTAAAGTTTCACTGTTTGGTAATACTGTACAAATGTGGGCACAATCGTATTGTTCATGGTTATTTAACCTTTCCTGAGATGGAAAACGAAGTAGACATGCTTCACAAATGTACATGATGTGACCGTCTTTTGAAATTTGTTTACTAACTAACCGCGATAAATTTTTTATATAGCAATAATGATTTTTTGTATCCTTGGAAAAAAATAATAAATTGATATGTCTATCTTTACGACACTTTGTTAAAAATAATGGACCTACTATAGAATTACATCGTTTTTCTTTATTATATTCTAACCCAAAAACATTAATACTAATATCATTTAATTTCTCTACTTTTGCTATGTCAGAAATTTTAACCGGAAAGGAAATACCATCAAATTTAAGTTTATTTGCATGTTTAACGTACGATGATACCCGATCGGTGTGTTTGTTTACAGGATATAACGCCGAGAGTAACGCCCATTTAAAACAAAAATAATCCTTGTTTTTTACATTTATAACAGCCTTTTTTAATTTTATGTCACGAGGAAGATCTATGTATGAAGTACCGCGTAGGGGGTTAAATTTATTAACATTCATGTCTATAGATTTTATGTTTTTTAGACTCCATCCACTATCTTTTTTTTCGAAAGCACTAATTTTATTAGTAATTGTATCATTTAAAGATGAAAGAAAAATATTTAAGTCATCTCCTTGACAAATAATATAGTTAAGCGTTTGAAAATCGAACGTATCATGAATATCTTTAGTTTGTTGAACAAAATCAGCATGCAATATGAAGTTTACCTTAAAAATTATGTGTTGATGAATACACTCTTGTAATAAAAATAAAATATCATCTTTAATAGAATTTAAAAATAGTTCAGGAGTTTCAAAATTTACCCATGTCGAACGATCTACTCTACTCTTGATTTTATAAGTTAAAATCCTATTTCCAAAAGCAGATTCAATAACACTAACGTTTGATAAAGAATTATGTGAATTTAAAAGATTATTTTTATGAACATTACTTTTAAAATGATTAGCTAAATACCGTTTCTTGATAAATATATGGCACGTTGGACATTCCACTTGATCATCGTTACTGATACTGTTCCCTGCAGAGGTATGCGCTTCTGCTTCCGTTGTTGGTTTTTTGATGATCTTGGATTCTTTGCTGCACGTTCGCTTCGTTCCTCTTCCAAGTTGTAGTGGTTGACTGCTAAAATGTTTAAATTTATTAAAAACTGTATAAGACAATATGTAAATTATGATCGAAATGAATGTTTATTTTACATACTTAAACTGTGTTTCAACCATCGCACAGTGATGATACAACTCATCATCGTATGACGAATCGAACAGTTGACCCCTCTCCATTTCTTCACAAACTTTAGACAACTCCTGATTTAATTCGCTATGGAATAGTTCCGTATTCTCTTCCATGATTGTGGAGAAAAAAGCACTGGTGCACACTTCACTGAAGTTTTCCCTTCCTCTTTTTTATTTTTGATTCAGCTTCAAAAAAATGATCAATCGATTGCGATTTTCTTTTTCCACCATCGCATGTGTTATTATTAATGACGAGGTCATAACTCTCTTCTTGAGGGGAGAGTGGCGAGTAGTAATACTGTTTATAGGTATTTTCATCGAAGCTCAATGATTTCTGCAACAATACAGTTATCATGTTAATATCAATTTGTTAACACTTAATCATAAAAGTTAAAAAAGTTAAAGTTACAGCCTATTAAAGTCCACTGCTGAACATAGGCCTCCTCTCATTTCTGAGAGGGTTTTAGGGCAAGGAAATGTCCGCCGCGCTGCCTCAATGTGTGTTGGCGAACTTCACATGCCTTCGAAATTTTCTCAGACATGCAGGTTTCCTCACGATGTTTTCCTTCACCACCAAGCACGTGGTAATAAGCACTTAAAATTGCGATTAACAATTTAATTGGTGCTGGCGGGGATCGAACCCGGGTCGCGTACTGTGAAATTTACAGCTAGCGCTAACCATCTGAGTTACCACGGCTTAATCATATACATACACAATATTTAAATAAAATAATACACACGCATGAAAATAACAGAAAAAAAGTAATTTAGTCAATAGAATAAACACTTACATCCATAGCCTTTGGTGCATTGAAGTAACACAAATGTACTATTGATAGATCCACTGCACTCAAACGACCATACACTAACTCGATGACTGCGTCTGTTGGTCTTATATACCACCAGTACGTAAAAATTCTAATCTAAAGTATTTCCGTAATGAGTTGATAATTACTTTATGCGTCAACCAGTTTATCTCACATTTCCGTTGCCTATCTCAACATTTCTTCGTATTGTGTTTTGTTTGGTGATCAATGACTCAAGTACGATTTGTATAACACAAAAATGCAATTTAATATTTAGAAATCACTATAATTGACCATTCCTATGTTATTCATTGAGTAGATTGGTACTGTAATAATCTACTAATAGCAGTAATATCATGGATACACTAGATGTACAACAACATCTGAAAAAGATTCACCCCAGTCTAGAAAATAATGTTTATGCAGCTAATAGACTGCCTATGTATACCCACGTACCAACGTATATAATATGCAATTTGGATACAGATGATAAACCAGGGTCACATTGGGTAGCTTTATATATCGATACGAATGACGTCGGTCAATATTTTGATTCATATGGACGATCACCTGTACGATATCATCTAGAGTTTTTAAAAAGGAATTGTAAAAGATGGAACTGGAATGTTGATAGGATTCAGAATGAGTGGACTTCAGTTTGTGGCGAATATTGCTTAATGTATTTGCTATATAAGTTTCAAGGATGTTCAATACATAGTTTTACGAGTATATTTACAAGGAACACATTGTACAACGATATTTTAGTGGATGAGATGTTTCGCTCCTATTTTATAGATAATAAGTAATAAGATTTTGTATTTTATAAATAAAAATTGTAACAAAATTATGTAATGTGTTTTATTGATGATTCAGATTAGCGTTGTATAATTAGGAACAAAGAAGTATAATACAATAGCACTGATATAGTCGACGCACACGCTGCAATGAAGGTGATTAATAAACAATAGAAATAGGAACAATGGGACGCTAATGACGGTGGAGGCCCTTACCGGATATCAATTAGATATTAGCTAATTGATCTACACATCTCCGGAACCGTGCAGTCTACACAAAAATGGACCGCGGATTCGTGATCAGAGCATGCCAAAACTTTTTTTTTTTTTTTTTTTTTTTTTTTTTTTTTTTTTTTTTTAGGATCGTGCGTCGACGAACGTCGTTGAACCACGTCTGACTCAGGTGGTCTAGAAGTGGTACAACTACACTCTCAAGCTCATATATAAACTGGCGCGCTCTAGGGCCAAAGCAGCGCAAGATATTACTCGCTGCTGCAGCGTCAACGGCCCTAATGGCGGGCTCTAATGGGCCCTAATGGTACGATGATCGTGCGGTGAAGCAGAGATGGCTCTCTTATTTCCACGTTTTGCTGAATACTCAGCACCGGGAAGTGCACCCATGCAACCCCAGCAACCATGGACTCGTGCCACCGATTACACCTGACGAGGTCCTCGCATCTCTTCGTCACATGGAGAATCGGAAAGCTGTCGGACCGGACGAGGTGCCAATTGAAGCGTGGAAAGCGCTGGGGGCTCATGGTGTGTGCATTCTTACTAACCTTTATAATAGAATCCTGAGCGACCGAATAATGCCCGATCAGTGGCGGCTTAGTATAATAACGCCGGTCCACAATGGTAAAGGGTCCGTTCAGGATTGCGGTAATTACCGCGGTATAAAGGTGATGTCACACACCATGAAGCTCTTCGAGCGCATTAATGACACCAGCATCCGACAGGAGTGTACAGTGTCGGACTCCCAGTACGGTTTCCAACCAGGACGCGGTACCATGGACCCTATATTCGCCCTAATGATCCTCATGGAGAAGCACAGGGAAAAGAATATGCCTCTGCATTTTTTATTCCTAGACCTGCAGAAGGCCTTTGACTGTGTTCCTAGGGAGATGATCTGGTGGGCGTTGCGGTCGAAGTTGGTACTAGAGACCTTCGAGGAAATCGTACGTGGCATGTACCGCAACTCCGATTCAATAGTCAGGACCGCTGTTGGTGATACAACCCCTTTCCCCACAACCGTAGGCGTGCATCAGGGCTCCGTCTTAAGCCCCTATCTCTTCAGTGTGCTATTAGACGAACTGTCAGCCAGCGTACAGAAACTACCGCAGCCTTGGCTGCTTATGTACGCTGATGATATCGCACTGGTAGATGGGGACAAAGGACGGCTCACCAGACGCGTGCACGCATGGAGGGAGGTGCTTGAGAACGGCGGTCTGAAGCTAAATGTGGCGAAGACGGAGTATATGGCCTGCAACAGCACAGATCTGACGTCTCTCCGTATAGGCGACGACACCATCGAGCGCACCGGGGACATCGATTGCGACATCAAGGCCCGTATATCAGCGGCTTGGGCGAAATGGCGCGAGGTGACGGGTGTCATTTGTGACCCCAAAATGCCGGTCAAGCTGAAGGGACAGGTCTATAAGACCATCATAAGGCCTGTCCTTACATACGGCAGTGAGGAGTGGCCGGTGGTGGAGCGACACCGGCAGTTGTTGCATGTCACGGAGATGAACATGCTGCGGTGGATGTGTGGCGTCACGCGGATAGACCGTGTACGGAATACATACAGCATGGCAGCCTCCATGTCCGTGACATTGCTGACAAGCTGCAGGAAAGTCGCCTCCGCTGGTACGGCCACGTCTTACGACGACCGGCAAGCTATGTGGGAAACAAATGCCTGGACATGACCCTACCTGGTACCAGGAGTAGAGGATGGCCCAAGAAACGCTGGCTTGATGTCGTGCAGGATGACATGCGCGCCAATGGGCTAGTTGTGAGGGACGCCGAAGACCGGGCAAAGTGGAGGAGGAAGTGTAGGAAAGCGGACCCTGGGTTCTCCCGGGCTGAGCAACCGGGATAAACGCTAGGTAGAAGAAGAAGAAGAAGATTGAACTTGTGATAGCCCACTAAAAAGCGTCAAAATTTAACTCTTAATAAAAAGTAAAAGCTGTCATCAAAGAATTAAATAATTTACACGTAACTGCTTCTGAAGTCGGGGCTATAATGAATAAAAGTGAATGCAAATAATAGGATTTTAATGATTTTTGAAATACAAGAAAGTAAAACGATATGTGAAATAAGATGGAAGGAGAGTTGTTTGAGTAAGTGGATGAGTTTGTAAATTTTGGATGTGTGTAGCAGGAATGGTTTTTTTTTAATAACTGGCTTTACGGCTCTGGGATCTAGCCCTTCTGAGCCTGAAGTTACAATATATTATAATTATCCTTCATAGGTTCTGGTATTTGAAAGGGACGAAGAGAGAACGAAGTGTGAAATATGGGTAAATCAGGAATGTCTAGAACAGGTAAATGAAATTGTATACTTGGGGAGTGCTTTTAGCCGGGATGGAAGATGTGATTTAGATGTGGACAGGCGTGTCGCTGCCGGGAACAAAGTCAATGGTGCCCTGACTGCGTTAGTCAAAAGGCAAGGCGTAGCGAAGAGTGCACGCCTTGCAATACATAACGCAGTGTTGGTACCGACTTTGTTATATGGCAGCGAAACCTGGGTATGCCAGAAGAAGCATAAAAGTAGGTTGAATGCAGTGGAGATGCGATCTCTTCGTAAAATGTGCGGCGTTACCATGGCCGACCGAAAGCGAAACGAAGAGATTCGCAATATGGCAGGTTTGAAAGATCACCTTATCACAAAAATTGATAAGGGCGTGCTTCGGTGGTTTGGGCACGTTGAGCGAATGAGTGAAGACCGAATGGTGAAGAAAATATATACCGCGAAAGTTAATATTAAAAGGTGTCGAGGTAGACCGAGACTAACTTTCGAAGACCATGTGAGCAAATTGCTCGAAGAGGGTAGGGTCAAGAGTACTCGGATACCTAGACGTGCATGCATGAAGAAGATAATGAATCTGAAAGAAGCGAAAGAGGTTTGTAAGGATCGTGACACTTGGCGATCTGTTCTCTCTGGCTACCCCGTCAGGAATTGTGCGTGAAGATAAGTAAGTAAGTATCCTTCATAGTATACTGCTTCACAATATGTTGATGCGTCACATTGTGCAGCCCTTGGGAGATTTTGACGGCAACTTGAACCAGCAGACAGCTGACGGTTGGCGATGGTATCTCAAGGCGCCTTAGCAGACAGACACCCTATCTTGAGAATCACAACACCATCAAAGCACTTGTTTCACCGTTTCCACTAATAGTTCACATGCGCAGACACTTAATACATAAAATCGCACCACCTTTACATATAAAAGTTCACATCAAACCATCATCTATACAAATAAATAAAATTGAACTGTCTGTTTGTAATGTCAAAATTACAGCTTTTTACTAAATGCATATGAAAGTATATACGAATTAATAACAAAAATACAACTTTTAAAGTTTTTGTCCGTCTGTCTGTCTCTCCGTCTGTCTGTCTGTTTGTTCCGGCTAATCTCTGAAACGTCTGGACCGATTTTGACGGGATTTTCACTGGTAAATAGCTGATGTCACAAGGAGTACTTTTATTTTAGAAAAAGAATTATGTTTAAATAAAACTAATTTTTACGGATTTTATCGCGTATATTAACTTATTTTATATTTCCGACGTTTCGGGTGCTTTTCAGCATCCGTGGTCACGGGGGACTGAGGTGTTTAACGTCCTGCTGTCATAGTTAGCCCGGCTACCTTCAGTTTTTTAATATTAATTTTTGGTTTGATTTACGCAGAATGAGCTTACAGTATCTTGAAGTCTAGTAGTGGTATACTTGGGTTTGGATTTGATTTTATTAACTATGGGATCCCAAGCAGATGACAGCACCCATCCATCTTTCTCTATTGAAATTAGGATGTTTTTTAATTTCAATAGTCTCGCGAATCATCCTTGGGAGGAATCGGTGTTCTTTTGCGAGGATTTGTGGTCTATCAAATCTAATGTAATGGCGGGGACGATCTTGAACATGTTCACAAACTGCAGACTTCCCGATACGTCGGTGCTTCACGTCAGCTATATGTTCTTTAATGCGGGTTTTTATAGATCATTTTGTTTGTCCTATGTACGAGAGACCACATTCGCAATCCAGCTTGTACACTCCTGCATCTTGTAGAGGGATATGACACTTGACGGATGCTAAAAATTGACCAATCTTCTTTAGCGGCTTGAAGTATGTTTTAATGGAAGCTCGCTTCAAGATGTAGCCAACCTTGTCTGTGACTCTTCTCACATAGAGTAGTACAGCAGGCACACGCTCGACTGTGGCTGGCTTCACTCGGTCACTGTGACGTAGGCGCGGGACCCGAAGCTTGTTGTCTTGCAGTACTTGCTCGACGTGCTGAAGCTCGGCAGCCAGATGTTTTCTGTCACAGATCCCTCGTGCTCTCTTAAACATTTTATCGGACGCAAGTACATACAAAAAGGTCAAAATAGACCCTACAACTAATACACTTAAAACAACTAATGATTTAATAAAGAAATACTCCGAAAAATTAGATCTCGACGTGAATTCGACAATACCATCATGTGTTAAACCACCGAGGTTGTATGGGTTACCGAAAACACACAAACCAAACGCTCCACTACGTTCTATAGTAAGCCAGATCGATTCACCAACTTATAAGTTGGCTCAACACTTGGCAAAAATATTGTCACCACAAAGAGGACATACCAGATCACACACAAAGGATTCATACCATTTTGTTAAAAGGAAAAGCAAAGTTCTGGAAAGCACCCGAAACGTCGGGAATATAAAATAAGTTAATATACGCGATAAAATCCGTAAAAATTAGTTTTATTTAAATGTGTAGTGTTCGCGTAAATATAAGAAATCAAAAGAATTATGGTTCCGCGCAAAAATATTAAAACCCCAAATAACACACGGGCGGAGTCGCGGGGAACAGCCAGTCTATACAAATAAATAAAATTGAAGTATCTGTTTGTAATATCAAAATAACAGCTTTTTATTAAATGCATAAGAAAGTATATACGGTACTTATAACAAAAACACAATTTTTAAATTTTTTGTGTGTGTCTGTTTGTTCCAGCTAATCTCCGAAACGGCTGGACCGATTTCGACTGGACTTTCACTGGCAGATAGCTGATGTTATAAGGAGTAACTTAGGCTATTTATATTTTAGAAAAAGAATTAGGGTTCCACTCAACATAATTAAAACCCTAAATTACACGCGGGCGAAGTTGCGGGGAACAGCTAGTTTAAACAATAATACAGGAGCAGCAAACCGCCGCCGGTCAAGTTCCCGCCAAAAATCGCAGGAATAGTATACTTATATGACAAAGTTATAGAGCGACGAGTGAACGCAGGACACAGAGTAAATGGGGCTCTTCACTCTATTGTGGGCAGTTAAAAGGCAGTCAAAAATGCACGTAAGGCAATTCACAATGCTGTGTTAGTCAATACCCTAATGTATGGTAGTAAAATTTGGGCGTGGCAGAAGTACGAGAGTGAAATTAATGCTGTAGAAATGCGATCATTTGTTGGATCTTAATGATAGATTGATAAATTGTGAGATATGGAAGTGCCGTTTACAAGAAGATGTTGTGACCAGGATTAAGAAAGGAACGCTTTGACGTACACATACGTAGAAAGAATGAATAAGGAAAGAGTGGCAAAGAAAATTTATGCTGCAAAAGTGAGTAATAAACGTAAATGCAGTTACTTTTAAGAAATAGTTGTATATGTCTGTTTTATTTTGATATCGTTGTGTCTGTCGTAGTAATGTGCACCGGAAGGAATATCAACTAGAAACCGGAGATTCGGTGAACATTGGTTTCAGTAAGACTGATGAGATGAGAAAGTAGTAATATTTTACGTTTATGATAGTACGATTTTGAAAAAAAAAAACAAAATAAAACAAATAAAATCCAAGCGTTTAATCAAGAAATTTATCAACTGAATAATTTATCATTCAAGTAGAGATTAATTATCGTTTAGCATCGCCGTGAATCCGGGTTGCACAAGGTAACATGCTATCACCTACACTGTTTCTTCTGCATATTTATAATTTGTTGCAAATCAGATGCTTACTACACCAGCCATGCCAATATTTTTCAGGAACACGATGTCAAATGCAGGTACAAACTTGCGTATGAAATTGAGTCCTTGTTAAACATAGTTTGTGATTGTGGGCGATTAAATTAAAACCAGTTTAACTGTCAGATGGAGCCTATAGATCTTTGCAGAATTTTCAATAGGATGTAAAAGACAGTGCATCTGATGGTGGTAGGCAATACCAGATGGCAAGTGGTAATGCAAGATAGTTTAGCTTAACAAAAGCCTATTCACTGGTATCTTTATTCTTTATAACATCCACATTATAATTGAATAGAAAGACAGATATTTTTTAGAGGTGTGTTTTCATATTCATTTATCATTCAACTAAAATCAGCATGGAGAAACATTTAATGTCTTGTACGGGATCTAGGGTTCTCTCATATACGAAACATTTAAAAGGTAATGCCTCCTCTACACTACTCGCGAAGTAATTTTGACAAAGTCGATCGCAGTCCGAAGAACGTGACTCCTACACACTTGGGCCACTTCGCGAAGAGCTCAGTCGTCCCCTTAACATGAATAACGTTCAAGAGGCAGCTGCTATAGGTACCTAATTTTGTGAACAGTACGACGTGAATGCGTTAACCATAGATAAATAATTATGTAGAAAGCTACATATTTAATATTTATGTATAAAAAGATTAATATATAACTGGCGTACGCCGAGTAGTGTAGTGAGATGCTTCGTGTAACTTCGGGGTACTTCGCGAAGTCCTTTGACTCTGGCACAAAAAATCGACAGCGATCAAAAGTCGCCCGAGAAGAAGCGAGATTGCACGAAGCGAATCGAAGTACCTCTCTACATTTCTATTCTCTATTCGCCTCGCCCAACTTCGGTCAACTTCGCGATTAGTGTAGAGGGGCCATAAAGAAAGGTAAAAACTAAAGGAGTAAGTAACACTTTTTCCTGTGATAGTAGTCTCTAACATTGAAGTTATATAACTTCAATGGTCATAAATATAACACTACTCTACTATTGAGCCGTAGTTCGGGGGCTAAGCGCTCGCTGTAAATTTTATAGTACGCGAGCCATCCGGGTTCGATCCCTGCCGGCAGCAATAAAATTATTAATTGCATTTTTAAGTCCTGATTTATCACGTGCTCGGCGGTGATGGAAAACATCGTGAGGAAACCTGTATGTCCTAGAAATAAAAAAAAAATCGAAGACATGCGAAGTTCGCCAACGCGCATTCTGGCAGCGCGGCGGACATCTTCCTTGCCCTAAAATCCTCTCAGAAATGAGAGGAGGCCTCTGCAAAGTAGTAGGACGTATATAGGTTGTCACTTTATAACACTACTCTGTGATCATTTCGCCATTTGTCAGAATAAGTAGCCTCGTTTTATTGATCCTGATTTCACAGTAAAAGTGAGAAATACTAATTCCTTTTACTAATTACCAGTTAATTAACTAATTTTATATTTTTATTATTATTCAATTAAAAACTAAATACCTTAATGTTAAACATTAGAGGCCATTTTGATTATGTTTAAATGTCTTAATAGTTTTAATTGTGATTAGTTTAGTGATTAAAATCAATCAAATGCATTCTTGATATGAAGGCGGAATAACTTAAGGGCCGCAGTACCCGGGTTAAATTTACGAAACTTCTCGAATCATGTTAGTGCAAAGTAAATAAAAAATTGTTTATTGGTTTTAAGTTTTGAATGTAAATACATAAATGTTTTATTTTATACTAGCTGTTCCCCACGACTTCGCACGCGTGCAATTTAGGGTTTCAATTATGTTGCGCTGAACCCTAATTATTTTTCTAAAATATAAGTAGCCTAAGTTACTCCTTATAACATCAGCTATCTGTTAGTGAAAGACCCATCGAAATTGGTCTAGCCGTTTCGGAAATTAGCCGAAACAAACAGACAGACAGACAAAAATATTAAAAATTGTGTTTTTGTTATAAGTACCGTATATACTTTCATATGCATTTAGTAAAAAGCTGTTATTTTGACATTACAAACAGACAATTCAATTTTATTTATTCGTATAGATATAGATTTTAATATGTGGTACTAGTCAGACTAGCTAGATACTCAATGTCTTTAGTACGAATAATGGTGCTAACGATTCGTTTTAACAGAATGCCAGCATAAAATAGCAGCAAAATGCTGCTGTTTAGAGAACCCCTTCCTAACGTAACGAGGCATCTTAGTCCTCAAAAATGACACGCATCTACATTTTGATTGTACTACTTTTAACATCAAAAAGTGTTTTAATCTTCTTTGAATGCTACGCTATAAGTCTGTTTGGAAAATAAGTCTTTCAGTTATCATTTTGCCCATTTTTGTAATTTTTGCGGTCTCACCGCGAACTCACTTAATATGCTCATAGTATCAAGAATTCCGAAAAGCCCCTTCTAAGTTCACCTATTGTGACGGCTAACTACGGAACCCTACAATGTGTGTGGCTGATGCGCACTTGGCCGGTTTTTATTTTAATTACAGTTAATTTGTTATTAATTTGTATACGACTCAAAAGAAAATTTGTTTGTCTGATTAAAAAATTACTTAATTTCTAATAAAAATATTTTGTTACATTATACTAATATTATTAGATGCGTGTAGCCGAAGACCAGGCTAAGTGATACGCCTTGGGAGTGGCCTATGACCAGCAGTGGACTGCTGCAGGCTGATGATGATGGTCATTTCTCAAAATTTGATTTATTTTCTCTAAATCATATGAAAGGATAATTTTAAATTAAAAATTTTGTACAATTGACTTCAATATAAATCTATTATTAAGAATAACTCAAAAACTATTGGTCAGACCTTGATCAAATTTATATGGAACCATATGAGAAGCACCAGCTTTCAAATAAAAAAGAATCATTGAAATGTACTCCCAGAAAAAAGTTATGAGGTAACACACATAAAAAAAACATACAGTCGAATTGAGTATCGGCTCCTTTTTGAAGTGGGTAGAAAAGTAACAAACTTAAGTTTCTTTTGCGTTATCCTTTCGAATTTCACGGCCCTACGTTACAGCTTGGAATAAGATCGGGTGATGTTAGGGTTTCCAGGAACTTCGTACTAATGCTAACAGTCTTATACCATTAAAGAAAAGAAAGAAAGAAAAAGATAATGCTATGGTAATCGATGGCAAAATTATTCTTAAAAAGTGCAGTTGCCAACCCGCCTGCCAAACGTGGCAGTTATTGCTCCCCATATAAGTCCCGCATAGGAGGAAATCTTCGGGTGAGGCCTATATTCTGCAGTAGACTTTTATATGCTGTAATGGATGGATAATTTTTTTTTAGAAATAGGGTGGCAAACGAGCACACAGTCCACCTGATGGTAAGTGGTTGCTGAGGCCTACATTTACATCTATTCTCGTTTGCGAATGAAAATGCAGATGCGTTGTCACTCGTGAGGACTAAGATGGAATGCCTCGTTTCCAGTTTAAAGGGTCTCCGGTTCTCTACACTCACCATACGAAACACAGCAGCATTAAGCTGCTATTTTACGCTGGTATTCTGTGCGAGTGGTCCTTCCCTGGTCAAGCCGACCCATTCGTGCTACAACTATACTACTAATATAGCTGCAGCATGGCTCTAACACGTAAATTAATAGATGGAATAACTGCATGTCATTCACGTATTAATAAAAAAATATAGTAGGTATAAAACATAACAGGAAGTCGATGGACGCAGATAGCTCAGGACTGTACTTTGTAACATTCCTTGGGGGAGGCCTATATTCAGCAGTGGACTTGTGAAAGGCTGTGATGATGAGGTGATGAAGTTTCTAAAATTATTGCCGTGTTTTGACAAAATACAAGAAGATGGGCCAAGTTAATAGTACCCGTAACCAACGAGCATGTATGTGAAAAAAACGCGGGAGCTGTGTCAGGATCGTGCCAAATGGAAGTCCGTAGTCCTTACATACCCCTCTAGGTAAAAGGCGTGAGTATTTATTATTATTATTATCTATTAATAGGCGAGCGGTTTATAGCTGATATGCCTATATCTGTGTTGGTGTTTTATATTAGTCCAAGTTCACACTAAGAATACACTAAATTGGATTGTCTTTACACCATTAATTTGTCCAGTTTGTTTTTAAAACTAATCACAGAAGGAGCTTTTATTTTTACCATATTTTTTTATTTATGTTATAGATATATTTTACAGTTGACGATGTTATATTTGATCTCTGGGTCTGAAAATATGTTAATATCTTCTTTCAGGTGAATTGACAGAAAAGTTTACAAATGGTTTTATAGTTTACAAGGCACACAGGCGTAAGAGTGACACCAAACCTCAAATTAATAATAAAAAAAACTGAAGGTGGCCCAGGCCCAGGATAACTATTACACCAGCACATCTTATACTTCAGCCATAACATATTGCTGCATGGTCGTTTGTTAATAAAATGAAACGGAATAAAATCCATAAAATTAATTTTTAATGGGTACATAGTATTCGCGTAAGTATAAACCATTAGAGTAATGCCCGTCAAAAATCTTTTAAGAACTATAAAATGCATTCTCACTTTATTGTTTAAACGTTTACAACGAAAGTTATTAAATACTATGAATTTTTGATGTTAATTGTTTTCTACCGACGTCAAACAGGTGGCGGTACTCAATTCGACTGTATGTTTTTTTTCTGTGTTACCTCATAACTTCTTTCTCGGTGGACTGATTTCGATGATTCTTTTTTATTTGAATGCTGGTGTTTCACATGTGATGCCATACAAATTTGATCATGGTCTGACCAATAGTTTTTGAGTTATTATTAATAATTTTTATTGAAGTCGGTTGTACAAAATTATTAATTTTAAATAATGTTACGCACACACATATACGAGTAGTACGTGACAAAATATTAAGTAGTTAAAGTTAAGCTTACGCTTAAAAAAATACAAATAATTTCGAAGCCTTTTTAAAAAAGAGATTTCGTTAACAGCTCCCCAAAAGTTGTGTCCGTAAATTTATCACAAATTTGTGGTTACCCTGAGAGAAATTCACATACTCATGACGTCACTAACGAAGAAAGTGTCCAATGCACGCCGTGGAGGGCTGACCGCAGACTGCTAACTCAGTCGGCACCGAGCACACAGACCGAGCAGTCGAATCGAAAACGCGTCATGGACGAAAACTTATAACAATGTCATTTCGAAGGCTGTTGAGCGCGGTGCGCTCCGCGAGGGAAGCCCTGACCAGAGGCGCGCCTTTAGCAGACGGTATTCTTAAATCGTTGATATCAGTCTTTGTGATCTGCTGTATAGCCGTGTCCTCGCCCCAGACAGCGTCAGCGAAGCCCTTCGCGTTTAGTTTCCCAGCAGGCTGGTCCCTGGCTGGGCTCGTTGGGACCGTCGGGGCAAGGTCCGAGGATGCTGAAAGGCGGGAGCCCGCGGCTGGAGTGAAGCCGTACACGGGGCGACGTGTGGGCAACGACACATTACGAATGATCTATCATCACGACCAGACAGTCGCGGTGGTAGAGCTGGGCCCCGGCAAGCTGCTGCTGAATTGTGAGCTCATCGAGACTTAGTAAGTAGTGAAAATAAACGATTACTAGAAATATAATTATAAATAATTATTTGAATTTTGAAAGACAGTTATTAGTTGGGAAATATTAATAAAAAAAATTGACTTAGTAAAAAAGTAAGAAAATTAGAATAAGCCTGTAAATGACCATTTCAAATTTTGTGTTGAAACCATAGACTATGTACTTATTAATAGACTAATACATTTTTTTTGTTTAAACTTTAATATTTTTGCCCTATACTTAAAATTAAAAAAGAAACACTATTCTATCCTCTAATATTTAAAAAAAAATGCTAAAGATAAATTATCTAACTTTTAAATCCAATTAGGTTACGTGTACATTACAGTTCAATTATTTAATTGCTATCTATCTAATCGTAAATGGATTCCGAAGGTACGATTACTTTCATGACTCCAAAATTGTAGCAATTTACGTTTTACGTGACAAGTCGTTAGTTAATAATTGTCTTCTGTTGTATAGGTATTTACGAAAAAATTAATTTTCTTTTCTAGGAAGTATCTATTAGGTTTTATTTAGGCAGGGAGCAAAGAATCAGCGCATGGAACCCTGGCGATCTATCTAAATAGGCCATTGTGAACAGTCGCAAAGTGTCAATCTCATAGTCAATTGCGTTTAATTTAAATTATGGCCTAGCGACGACGATGGCTTTAACCATTGATTGGAAAATTTATTTCAGTGCAATTTATACGTTAAAAAGGGCGGGAAATGAATGTCAAAAAGGTTTTTTTATTCATTCACAGAATACCAGCTTAATGTTGTTGTGTTCCGTATGGTGGATGTCGAGAACTGGAGACCCTTTTTACCGGTAACGTTGCATTCTTAGTACGTATGGATAATAACGGACGACATCTACATTTTGGTTATTAATCGAGTATGGATCTAGCATAGTTTAAAGATAATAGGTATGTACGGAGTCAACGGGGCAGAGCATCCGCTTACCATCAGGTGGGCTGGTGGGCTGTGTACTGGTTTGTCACCCTTTTCTATAAGAAAAAATCAAACTTATTTTATATTTAACTAATTACTTTCAACAATGTACACATGTGTATAATATGATATCTATTTCTATTTTATTGTGATTCTTAAAAGGTTTGTATATTCATAGCATAAGAAATTATATTTAAAACATTTAGTTGGCTCCCGGCATAGATCAGTTTACAATATTGTTTTGGCGTAGATGGTGGGTATAGAGAACCGGAGACCCATTTTTACTGGAAACGAGTCACTCGATACTTAGTGCTCATGGTTGACAACGTATCTGCATTTTGATTCTTAATCGAGGATTCACACAGCATCCACTTACCATCAGATGGACTGTGTGTTCGTTTGTCACGCTCATTCAAAAAAAGCAGTGTCAGGGTTGCCAAACCTAATTATGTAGTATCATACTATATTAGGGGTCTGAATACTATAATTTGATAAGAACTGTTATTGAAGGCTCAAAAGCAGCAAAAATATTCCTTTAAAAAATATTAATTCAAAACATTCTACTCATGTTTTTTAACTTCCCGCTATGAAAATCAACGATTTTCAAAAAATCGGGAAGTTATTGGTTTCACCCTAGTTTTCGAAAATCGAGGTTTCATCAGATCTCGACGTTTTAGAGGTTCTAGGAAGCTATTCTGACTATTCCTTAGAAGATGTCACTATCTGTATGTATGTGGTGTAATAAACTACATAATAGTACTAAATGATAATTAAGTTTCTAGTTTTAGTTTTTTTTTTAATTATTATAGTTTTAAATATTGTACATCAAAATAGGTTGAATTTGGAGCGATTTGCACTCGAAATTCGGGAAGTTCCAGGGATGGTTTGTAGGGTCAACCGTATTTTTTTTTAATTTTCGTTTTCTACTGTATTATAAAGGTAATTTAAAATAAAGTAACTGTAAATAGTCTCATTTACTGTTTATTATAAAAGGTTGGCAGTCCTAATCAGCCTGTGAACAATCTGCTGATGAACTGAACTGATCTCTGTTAAACAGTGCGTACATAATTATGGCCAAAAACAGAAAATCTCGACTCAATTTTATATCAATATTATTCTAATATTTCACAGTAAAATTGACAGTAAAGTGATTGTTTTTTTTTTAAATTATATTTAAGGGCAATTTCTATCATGAACAATTTTGTTCAAGATTGGTACATCCATAAGTCAATCTGCCTGTCTATCTGGACTGAATCCCGCCGGCATTGTTGTTACTGTGTTTAATTGTTGCTGCACGACTGCAAGCGAATCGAGTTAAATGAGTCCTAACTATGTAAAGTTATCAAAATACCGAATTTGGACATTTTTAGTCAGGCATGACCGTGAGATGCCTGGCACTTTGGCAATGCTGGCATCGCCACGTCACCTCGCACACGTACAGCGTGTACTGTTACTGTACAGGACTGAGGCGTAGTACTGCAATAGCTCCAGTGATTAACCTGAATATTTTAGTGATCGTTTTACCGCTAATAGTTTTTGCAGATCACATAATTTATACTTGCAATTGTTGTCACTTGGTGAAAGTTCATCTTCAGTTTTGTGATTTGTATATACACTTTTAATTGTTTCACAACCATCATCATCATCATCATCATCATCGATCGATTACACGGCATCATCAGGGTATATATACCCCGATTTAAAATAAATATTGTGAAGCAAATACAAGTGTATATCGAAATCACAAAAATTTTATTGGTGATGATCCGTCTTTTATCAGTCAAGGGTTCAACCTATATTATATTATTATATAGATATTTTTTATAGCATTTCCCTTTTACAAAGTTATAAATCGTGGATTTTTGTTCTTCTTATAATATATCATCACACCACACTACGTATAGATAGAGAGAGATTTTTGTCCTAAATAAAATTTCGAATGGATAATAATCAATAGCAAAATATATTTAAATTTTTTTTAGATGTTGGCCCCACACTAGGATTTTCTCCTGTGTAGTGAAGGATGGCTTACATAAATTGCACAAGAACAAACATCCAGACCCGCAATAATTATGTGTAGGCCGTACAAATTTACATACTTGTACAACAACAATACTTGTGGCGCCACGGAGCCGCCAAAAATGTAAATTAAAAATTTCAGACAAAGCTATCTCCAATTAATTCGGTGTGATAATCATTTGCTTCTTAATAAAATAAAACTAAAGAAATTAGCGAATGACAATGCTATTAATACATTAGTGCAATTGGTTTGATTCGCTGAAATAATTTTGTCGGATTCATAGTTCACAGTAATTGACAGAATAATAAAAAAACATAATGATTTCTTATATTTACGCGAATACTACACATGGAATAAAACTAATTTTACGGATTTTATTCCTTAATAAATGACTTTCATTGTACCTATTGTAACTATGTCAAAGAAAATATATACCTATGTAGAGTTTGTCGAATGTTCTACTGAAATTGATCATATTCGTCCTCCTAACCTATCCCAATGTAACCCGCAATAGGATCCGAAGTAAGCTAGGATACAAGGTTAGAACCAGGTAGGGTTGCCAACATTTTTTAGAAGTAACAAAGTACCTATATCTGATTTCAGAGAGGGTAAATAGAGTACAGATTTAATATCAGAGTATTGTTTATTTGAATTTTAACAATATTTTTTTATAAAATATGTAAAATGTCAGAGTTAATGTAAATAGAGTATTTCAGCGTACTCTTTTAGAGTTATAGATTATAAAGTATCGTTACCGTTCATCATCATTATCAGCCTGCGGCAGTCCACTGCTGGATATAGGTCTCTCCCAAGGCTACTTAGCCTGGTCTTCGGCTACACGCATCCAGTTGCTAGCCGCCTTGTGCAGATCGTCACCCCATCTAGCAAGAAGGCGTCCCACACTACGTTTGCCTAAACGGGGTCTCCACTCTATGACACACCTACTCCAACGGTTATCGTTTCTGTGACAAATGTGACCAGCCCATGGCCACTTCAGCCTGCAAATGGCTACGTCGGTAATCTTGTTTCTCCAGCGGGTTTCTTCATCGCCAGAGAAACTCCGAGCATAGCTCTTTCCATCGCCCGTATACATAATACTTTAAGTTATGGGCATATTAAAAGTCCACTTAAACGTAGTGATCATATACATTTGAGTCCACTGCTGAGGCCTCCCCTAGTCTCATAAAAGGATTTTTGCCATAGTTGCCACGCTTGGCGGCGGGTTGTCAAGCGCAGTTCTTTTAATTTCTATTGTGTTGTAAACTGCGGTTTTTATTGATAAGCACTAAGTATTTTTTATGCATAATTTAAAATTAAAAATTTTGTTCAGCTGACTTCAATATATGTAAGAATAACTCAAAAAGTATTGGTCAGGCCTTGATCAAATTCATATGGGACTACATGTGAAGTACTAGCTTTCAAATAAAAAAAGAATCATCGAAATCGGTTCACCCAGTAAAAAGTTATGAGGTAACACACATAAAAAAACATACAGTCGAATTGAGTACCGTCTCCTTTTTGGAAGTCGGCAGAAAATACGTCACTGTCGTAGTTCCTGTGATTGTCGCAATATTTAAGTAATAATAATGACATTCTTGCATATTGGAAAGTAAATTGTTTAAAAAAAATTCAAAACAAAACCATTGTATCTTTGTTTAAATATTTCAATAATCTCTGATTGGTTCGATCGTCTAGTCGAGGATATTTTGATCCATCCATTCCATTACAGTCTATAAAAGTCCACTGCTGAACATAGACCTCCCCCGTAGATTGCCTCATAGGGGACATTTTGCCAGTTGCCACGCTTGGCAAGCGGGTTGGCAACCGCAGTTTTTTACTATTTTGAGTTGTTATCAGGAACATGCTGCTGCCCATCTCGTGTTTTATTATGTACATTTTCCCCTGACGCCACTTACGATAAAAGATGATTTGGAGTATTGTATTTTGGACGTGGTAAAGCCATGCTGCAGCTATATTAGTAGTATAGTTGTAGCACGAATGGGTCGGCTCGACCGGGGAAGGACCACACTCTCAC